AGGAAGGGAAGGGGGGGAAAAAAAAAGGGAAAAGGTGTGAAATCCCGTGTTGTGTGTGTGTGAAAGTCCTACGCTTTTACAAAGTGCCTGACTGCTTGTTCCTGTTGTGTGTGTGTGTGTGTGTGTGTGTGTGTGTGTGTTTTGGTGTGTGGTGTGTGTGTGTGTGGTGTGTGTGTATCACTAGTTGTACTCATGAGTTGAGGTTGCGGGGCGACCGAGCTCCCGGCCCGCCTCTTCACTAATCAACACTAGGTCACCTTCCCGAACCATGAGCTTTAATACCTCTGCTTAAGCAAAGATGGATCCTGCCTCCACTAATTGTTCCCAAAACTTTTCCCACTTGCTGATTTACTCTGTGGCTGAAAAAAATATTTCCCTAACATCCCTGTGATTCACCCTGCATCTTCATTTTCCCAAAACTGTGTCCCTTGTTGCTGTGTCCCTCTTGGAACACCCTGTCTTTGTCCTTTTGTCAATTCCTCTCAGTTTTTGTAGGGCATTACCCAGGGCCCCCCCTATCTTCCTGTCCTCCGGGTGCGCAGGTTGTTCCCCCTTTAAACCCTCCCCTTAGGACATCCCCCTTTTAGCTCGGGGGTAGGTCTTGTTGAAAACCCTTTGCACTTTCTCAGTTTTTTTACGTTGTTTGGGTTTGGGCAGGGGTTTCCCCAAACTGGTCCCCGCAAAAACCCCCAATATGACCCAAAACGTACCAGTGCAAAGGGTCCTAAAACGATTTTTTATTAAGATGGGGAATTTCCCTGTTTGGGGTTTTTTGTGGCGCCTATTGCGGGCAGCCATTATTTGGTTGATTTTCGTTTCAGGAGATGTCCCTGGGGGTTATATCCCCAAGATTTTTTTTCCTTGATTGAGGTTTTTTTGTCTCTGGCCCCCCTAGATTTGTATTGTCTGCGGTCTTCTTTCCCTTTTCCCCCAATTTTTCCATGATTTGCACTTGGGGGGGATTAAAACCCCAAAAAACCCAATTGCGGGGACCGGGGGTCTGCAGGAACGGGACCCCTTTGTAGTTCTGCCTGGTCTTCGAAGGGGAAATTTTCTTCTCAACTTAAGTCATCCCCAAAAGGGGGAACCTAAAGGGGTCTATTCCTTCCGTCATGTCGTTACAAATCCCCGGAAACGCACTGGTCCTAGGACTGACCCCCGTGGGACCCCCCTTGGGGCACAGGTGGCCCCCTCTGGCCCTCGCCCCGTACCCTGACTCGCTGCTGTTTCCTGACAAGTTTTCCCGATCCATTGTAGTGCCTTCCCCGTTATCCCCGTTGGTCCTTTTAGTTTTTTTAAATTTAATCTTTGTGTGGAACTGTGTAAAATTTCCCTTTTTGCAGTCCCAAAAATATGCAATCCACCCCCCCCTCTCTCTCTTGTCTTTAAATGTCCAAACCCCGTATAGAAATCCAGTAGGTTTGTGAACAGGATTTCCCGTCCCCGAAACCCTGTTGGGGTGTGTTGATGAGATCATTCCTTTCTAGGTGTTCCCCCACTCTTTCCTGATAATTTTCCCCGATTTTGGTTTTTAAATGTTCCCTTTAACTGGGGCTGTAGTTTGTACTTCATTGGGCTGTTTTCCTTTTTAAAAAAATTGGGATCATTTGCTGTCTTCCATGCTCAGGGGAATTTTCCCTGTTTCGATAGACGTATTGGCTATTGTTGTTTTGGGTACACAAAATGCCCCTGGGTCCCCCTCTCGGGGCCCCTGGGGGGGTTTTTATCTGGGGGCCCCATTGCCTTTTTAGGTATTTTAGCTCATCAGAAGCCTTTTATTTTCCCGGTTTTTGTGCACTGTGTCCAGCCTTTGGGGGTGTTTCCCCACCTTCCGTCTTTTGGAGCCCCCCTTTTCTCCTCTGTGAACACTTCTTTGAATCTCTTGTTGAGTTCCTCACATACTTCATGGTCATTTATTGTTGTCTCTCCTCCTTCCTTCCTTAGCCTGATTACCTGGTCTTTGACTGTTGTTTTCCTCCTGATGTGGCTGTATAACAGTTTCGGGTCAGATTTGACTTTTGCTGCTATGTCGTTTTCATATTGTCTTTGGGCTTCCCTTCTTATCTGTGCATATTCGTTTCTGGCTCTATGACTGCTCTCCTTATTCTCCTGGGTCCTTTGCCTTCTATATTTCTTCCATTCCCTAGCACACTTAGTTTTTGCCTCCCTGCACCTTTGGGTGAACCATGGGCTCATCCTGGCTTTTTCATTATTCCTGTTACCCTTGGGTACAAACCTCTCCTCAGCCTCCTTGCATATTGTTGCTACATATTCCATCATCTCATTAACTGGCTTCCCTGCCAGTTCTCTGTCCCACTGAACCCCATTCAGGAAGTTCCTCATTCCCGTGTAGTCCCCTTTCTTGTAGTTTGGCTTCATTCGTCCTGGCCTTCCTGCTTCTCCCTCCCACTGTGCACTGTCTTGTGTGCTTAAAATTACATTCAATTCTGTAACACTATGCCTCACCTACTGTGTGTGTGTATGTATGTGTGTGTCCTGTATATATTACTAAATGTAAAAGGAGAAACTTATGTTTTTCCTTTTGGGCTACCCCCGCCTCGGTGGGATACAGTCGGTGTGTTGAAAGAAAAATTTATAAAATACACAATAACTTTAGAGCACTTGAAATTATGAAATTTCCACACATAATGGAGAGATGCAGAGCTCACGGAGGATGTAAACAAACAGAGTGGTACGCAGTGACTGTAATAGCAAGTCAGAGGAGCCGTATAATGAGTATTGGTCATAATTTGAAATATCCGCACATGTATTAGCGAAATGACGTAAAGCGGAGCCTTACTGTAAGTGAGAAAATAAATGTGCTAAACTAATGAGCATAGAACACCACAAAGTATAGCTCTGTGCTTGAAACTGCAAACAGGCAATATTCAGAATACAGGTGCCCTTCAACTGACAATGGGGTTACATTTCAAAAAACACATCATAAGTTGAAAATATCATAAGCTGAATATGAATACATGCTAAATAATTAAATAACTACTGTCATTGAATAAGTAAATAAACAATTACTGTAACTATATATCAGTATTGAAAAGTACAGTGGATCCTCGCCTAACGAATGCATCGCATAACGTTAAATCCACTAGCGATACATTTTAACGCAAAAATTTTGCCTCGGCTAGCGCTAAAAAACTCGCCCAATGCAATTCATGCCGTTTGAGACGCGTCCATGTGTGGCCTGAGCGCGCCTCACTTGTCCCGTGGGTGCCAGTGTTTACAAGCCAGCCACCGCGGTCGCATCCAAACATACAATCGGAACATTTCATATTATCACAGCGTTTTTAGTGATAAGTCACCATGGGCCCCAAGAAAGCTTCTAGTGCCAACCTTGTGGTAAAAAGGGCGAGAATTAGTATGGAAATTAAGAAAGATTTTGAAGGGTTTGGGGCTAACCTTGAGAAGCCTATGCCAGTTGTGGAATCCATTGTGCCTACTCAAAAATTAAGGAAATGTGTGCAAAGTGGCTTGAAGTCCAAACCTTTACAGATGAAAATCACCCTGACACAGCTACTGCAAGCTGTGTTGGCAACCTGTACAATGACAATGTTATGGCCCATTTTAGGAAAGTCTTAAAGGAACGGGAGGTACAGAGCTCCATTGACAGATCTGTTGTGCGACAGAGGTCCAGTGACTCTCAAGCTGGTCCTAGTAGCATTAAAAGAAGAAGGGAAGTAACCCCAGAAAAGGACTTGCTACCTCAAGTCCTAATGGAAGGGGATTTCCCTTCTAAACATTAACACCATCCACTCTCTCTCCTCCTCCCATCCCATCAATCATCACCAGATCTTCAATAAAGGTAAGTGTCATGTAACTGTGCATGTCTTCTTCAGTTTGTGTGTATTAAAATTAACGTTTCATGTGGTAAAATTGTTTTTTTTTCATACTTTGGGGTGTCGGGAACGGATTAATTTGATTTCCATTATTTATGGGGAAAATTAATTCGGCTAACGATAATTTTGCCTAACGTTGAGCTCTCAGGAACGGATTAATATCATTAGGCGAGGGTCCACTGTAACTAAATAAATGCAAGTTATGGACTTGTTGCCTTCACGCTGACCAATAATCTCAAGTTTCATCTCCAAAGTAATTGCTTTTGCACCATCATAAATTCGAAATATCCTAAGTTGAACCATCATAAGTCAAGGAGCACCTGTACTTATACCAATGTTAGACTTGTCAGTGTTTAACTAGTGTGGCAGTACAGCTTTCATTCAGACTCCTTCTTCATATTCACATTCTTCTTTTAAATCCTTCCAGATATAAAATATAAAATAATCAGAAAGCCAATAAGATGTACAACATTCATGTCTATGCCTTACTGGCCAATCCTGTGCCTGATTCACACCAATTATAAGGGAAGTGGATATTGGAAGTTGCTGTTTATTAGGATACCAGGTATTACAAGTGTCAATGAATAGGTACAGTAAACCCTCCATATAATGGACCTCCATTTAAAGGACTTCAGAAATATTAAGGAACAAAATCTACTGGGTCAACAAATTCTGAAACAACAAAGTCCTTTGGTCTCAGATTTGTTCATTTTTGTTATAGCTGTGGCAAAGTAATGTTTTCTCTATCTACCACAAATTCTATTGCTAGTCACCCACTCCTCCATTATTAAATAGGTTTACTGAATAAAAACAATTATTACCCCTTATTAATGCTATTTCATTTATGATAATCTCACTTATAATATCCCCTCTTTCTATCCTTACCTTTCCTCCTCTTAAATACAGGTATTAAGTTTCAAATCAATGTAATGAGGATTCCTTTAAATATCATTCTGTTGTGAAGCAAAGGCAAAAAAATAATAAAACAAAGTATTTCAATCACACAGGCTACCAACTGCCAATTATACACAAATCATAAAAACAAAGAGTAAAATATAAAAATGAATACTAAACTTGTTACAAAAAGTTTATAACTGTCTTAAGCTTAAAAAAATAAAATTCTCAATACATCATAAAAATCAATTTTACCAGAGATATAATGATTCATGGATGCGGGTATACATGTAGCATTCCACGTACAACCAAGGAGCAGTAAACCATTTGGGTGCAACTCCAGTAACACGTATGTAATTTTCTAAATAGCGGTTCCATATATTGGCATCATCTGCAAATTAATCAAGAATTAGAAGTTAAGGTAATTCAGCATTAGAGTAATATTCTTAAATTTGAAAAAAGGTTACATTATTTCAAGAGCTATTTCTACATGTGAGCAAGTTATTCTGTATGAATAAAACAATATAAATATATATATTAAAGGTAGTAGGTTGGTAGACAGCAACCGCCCAGGGAAGTACTACCGTCCTGCCAAGTCAGTGTAAAACGAAAGCCTGTAATTGTTTTACATGATGGTATTATTACTGGTGTCTTTTGTCTGTCTCATAAATATGCAAGATTACTACTTACACTTAGGTCACACTACACATACGTGTGCAAGCATATATATATACACAAACCCCTCTGGGTTTTCTGCTATTTTCTTTCAAGTTCTTGTTCTTGTTTATTTCCTCTTATCTCCATGGGGAAGTGGAACAGAATTCTTCCTCCGTAAGCCATGCGTGTTGTAAGAGGCGACTAAAATGCCGGGAGCAAGGGGCTAGTAACCCTTTCTCTTGTATATATTACTAAATGTAAAAGAAGAAACTTTCGTTTTTCCACTTAGGTCAGACTACACATACATGTACCATCATATATATCCACACCCCGCTGGGTTTTCTTCTATTTTCTTACTAGTTCTTGTTCTTGTTTATTTCCTCTTACCTCCATGGGGAAGTGGAACAGAATTCTTCCTCCGTAAGCTATACGTGTTGTAAGAAGCGACTAAAATGCCAGGAGCAAGGGGCTAGTAACCCGTTCTCCTGTATATATTACTAAATTTAAAAGGCGAAACTTTCGTTTTTCCTTTTGGGCCACCCCACCTCGGTGGGATACGGCTGGTATGTTGAAAGAAGAAAGAAGAATATATATATTATAGGTAGTAGGTTGATAGACAGCAACCACCCAGGGAGGTACTACCGTCCTGCCAAGTGAGTGTAAAACGAAAGCCTGTAATTGTTTTACATGATGGTAGGATTGCTGGTGTCTTTTGTCTGTCTCATAAACATGCAAGATTTCAGGTATGTCTTGCTACTTCTACTTACGCTTAGGTCACACTGTACATACATGTACAAGCATAGATATACACACCCCTCTGGGTTTTCTTCTATTTTCTTTCTAGTTCTTGTTCTTGTTTATTTCCTCTTATCTCCACGGGGAAGTGGAACAGAATTCTTCCTCCGTAAGCCAAGCGTGTCGTAAGAGGCGACTAAAATGCCGGGAGCAAGGGGCTAGTAACCCTTCTCCTGTATATATTACTAAATGTAAAAGGAGAAACTTTCGTTTTTCCTTTTGGGCCACCCCGCCTCGGTGGGATACGGCCGGTGTGTTGAAAGAAAGAAGAATATATATATATATATATGCAATAAGATCACAGTAAACAGGTGATTTCGGAATATGCAAAACAACCACTCTGAAAAAATAGAGAAATTCCAAGCGCTTTCGTGACTACTCACATTATCAAGGAACTATGATAATACAGTGGACCCCCGCATAACGATCACCTCCGAATGCGACCAATTATGTAAGTGTATTTATGTCAGTGCGTTTGTACGTGTATGTTTGGGGGTCTGAAATGGACTAATCTACTTCACAATATTCCTTATGGGAACAAATTCGGTCAGTACTGGCACCTGAACATTCTTCTGGAGTGAAAAAATATCGTTAACCGGGGGTCCACTGTATATATATTTTTCAACAAGTCGGCCGTCTCCCACCGAGGCAGGGTGACCCAAAAAAGAAAGAAAATCCCCAAAAAGAAAATACTTTCATCATCATTCAACACTCTCACCACACTCACACACACACACATATATATACATATATATATATATATATATTATATATATATATATATATATATATATATACACACACACACCTACCATCCAACTTACAACCGAGTTCGGTTCCGAGAAACCGGTCGTAAGTCGAAATGGTCGTAAGTCGAACTTTACTACTGAATATCAACAAAACACCCCATACCCCCGGCCGGGATTGAACCCGCGGTCATAGAGTCTCAAAACTCCAGCCCATCGCGTTAGCCACTAGACCAGCTAGCCACAATAAGATTCATCCAACTAGGTATATTTCTACACCATAGGAAAGTTAGCACAGGCACCTCTGTGACCACAAATGCAAGTTTTTACAGACGAATCTCCAGCTAGCGTGGCCGTGACGAACTCTAGCTCAAGTCCCTTCACTGCCGTCAACATGACGGCAGTTGTTTATTTCCCAGAAGTTTGCATAAAAAACACGGTTGTAAGTCGAGTGGTCGTAAGTTGAGCAGGTCGTAAGTCAGATGGTAGGTGTGTGTGTGTGTGTGTGTGTGTGTGTGTGGTGTGTGTGTGTGTGTGTGTGTGTGTGTGTGTGTGTGTGTGTGTGTGTGTGTGTGTGTGTATATATATATATATATTATATATATATATATATATATATATATATATATAAATATATATATATTATATATATATATATACAGTGGACCCTCGACTAACGCTATTAATCCGTTCCTGAGAGCTCATCGTTAGTCAAGTTAATTTTCCCCATAAGAAATAATGGAAATCAAATTAATCCGTGCAAGACACCCAAAAGTATTGAAAAAAAAAAAAATTTGACCCATGAAATATTAATTTTAATACACACAAACTGAAGAAGACATGCAAAGTTACATGACACTTACCTTTCTTGAAGATCTGGTGATGATTGATGGGATGGGAAGAGGGGAGTGTGTTGATGGTCTTAGTGTTTAGAAGGAGAATCCCCTTCCATTAGGACTTATTGGCAAGTCCTTTTTCGGGGTTACTTCCCTTCTTCTTTTAATGCCACTAGGACCAGCTTGAGAGTCACTGGACCTCTGTTGCACAACATATCTGCCCATAGAGGCCTGTACCTCCCGTTCTTTTATGACATTCCTAAAGTGTTTCACAACATTGTCAATGTCACCATTAAACACTTGTTCAGGTTTCAGTCCTTCACTGTCTATGTACTCCTTGAATTCCTGCACATATTTTTCAGCTGCTTTTTGGTCCAAACTGGCAGCCTCACCATGCCTTATCACACTATGTATGCCACTACGATTCTTAAATCTCTCAAACCAACCTTTGCTGGCCTTAAATTCACTCACATCACCACTAGTTGCTGGCATTTTTCTAATTAAATCGTCATGCAACTTCCTAGCATTTTCACATATGATCGCTTGAGAGATGCTATCTCCTGCTATCTGTTTTTCATTTATCCATACCAATAACAGTCTCTCAACATCTTCTATCACTTGCGATCTCAGTTTCGAAAACATAGTTGCACCTTTGGCAAGAACAGCTTCCTCGATTGCCGTTTTCTTGGCCACAATAGTAGCGATGGTTGATTGGGGTTTTGTGTACAGCCTGGCCAGCTCGAAGACATGCACTCCACTTTCATACTTAGCAATGATCTCTTTCTTCATATCCATAGTAATTCTCACCCTTTTGGCTGTAGGGTTGGCACTAGAAGCTTTCTTGGGGCCCATGGTGACTTATTTTGCAGGTGCAATCACTAAAAAGGCTGTGATAATATGAAATGTTCCGATTGTATGCTTGGAAGTGACCGCGGTGGCTGGCTGGCTTGTAAACACTGGCCAGAAGTGGACGCGTCTGACGGAAGGAATAGTGTTGGTCGAGTTTTTTAGCGCTAATCGAGGCAAAATTTTTGCGATAAAATGTATCGCTAGTCAGATTTATCGTTAATCGATGCCATCGCTGGTCGAGGGTCCACTGTATATATATTATTATTATTATTATTATCACACTGGCCGATTCCCACCAAGGCAGGGTGGCCCGAAAAAGAAAAACTTTCACCATCATTCACTCCGTCACTGTCTTGCCAGAAGGGTGCTTTACACTACAGTTTTTAAACTGCAACATTAACACCCCTCCTTCAGAGTGCAGGCACTGTACTTCCCATCTCCAGGACTCAAGTCCGGCCTGCCGGTTTCCCTGAACCCCTTCATAAATGTTACTTTGCTCACACACCAACAGCATGTCAAGTATTAAAAACCATTTGTCTCCATTCACTCCTATCAAACACGCTCACGCATGCCTGCTGGAAGTCCAAGCCCCTCGCACACAAAACCTCCTTTACCCCCTCCCTCCAACCTTTCCTAGGCCGACCCCTACCCCGCCTTCCTTCCACTACAGACTGATACACTCTTGCAGTCATTCTGTTTCACTCCATTCTCTCTACATGTCCAAACCACCTCAACAACCCTTCCTCAACCCTGTGGACAACAGTTTTGGTAATCCTGCACCTCCTCCTAACTTCCCAAATACGAATTCTCTGCATTATATTACACCCCACATTTCCCTCAACAT